ATTAACATTAACAGTGACTTGAATCTGGCTATCTTCTGGTGGAAGAGGCTGATTCCCTCCAGGATAACTGTTAGCCAAGCAGCTTTTCTGTTTTTCTGCTTGCATTCATTATTTGTATGTGTCCTTTTAAATCTTTCATTTGATAAGTGTATTAAATTGTTATTAATTGGTTTATCTTGTACCAATCAGAGGGGGTTTGTCGAAAGCCTCCTAAGGGATGCCAGTTTTGTTTGGACATATTCCTGGAGGTTTTATAACATGACACAATCTTTAATAGAAGATTAATCTTTAATTACTGGAGACTCCAAGAAGTTCAGGACAAGCACACAAGTGAATTTAGCCAGTAATCTTCAAAATCTAATGAGGAGGAATAATGAAAGAATTGCATCCTTTGCATCTAGGATAAAATTGTTACTTATGTGCCTAATATATGAGGTCCAAGAAATTATCAATATTATAATTAAATAATATTATTTTTCTGATACTGCTGTTTTGCTAGGTCTAGCTCCAGAAATATATATTAATTTTCTAGATACTGGTGCTTGTTCAAAATCTTTTTACCATTTTACCAATGTCATGTCTCCACTTCCCTCTTATGAGACCTGGGATGAGTTCTTCTCAGCTTTCATGACTGGAAAAAGTACTGTTCCTTTTTCTACCTATGCCAATTATTTAATGTGTAGACTAAATTTGAAAATATGGAATTTGTAACCCAGATTCATTATGCTTTTTTCATTTTATTTTATCAGAAAATGACAGAGGTTAATAGAAGGATCTTCAAAATTTCAGACAATCTTCTTTAATAAATGACTCATTTTGGGAACTTTTATAAAAATCACTGAGGACAGGGAGGACATAGTCTCACAGGAGCAATCTAGAGTTTATAAGGCTCTAGATTTAGGCTGAAGGCTAAAGATCTATGAAGAGAGTGAACTGGAACTCCCCTCTCCCTTCACTGGTAGGTAAGGATTTTGAGGCAGATCTCTCCAAAGAATGTTGGGGGATACATTTTTATTGCCTTGTGTGACAGAGCGCTAAGTAGGAACCCTGAATAAACACTCAGTTCACAGCAGCTGCAATCAGGCATAGCAGATTGGAGCTGACAAGGCAGACCTGTGCTTAATTAGTGGGTGGGGCAGGGCAGAAAAGCCAATTAAGCCATTAACCCAAACCCACAAATAGGCACAGGAAGGAAGAGCACAGGAGGAAGTGAGAGGGAGATTGCTCTACCCTGCTTGTAAAGGTGCTAGGTGTGTGGTGAAGGGAGGATAGGATTAAAATTCAAAATGATCTGGACAAACTGGAGAAATGATCTGAAGTAAATAGGATGCAATTCAATAAGGACATCCTGGCTGGGATGATTTAGTTGGGGATTGGTCCTGCTTTGAGCAGGGGGTTGGACTAGATGACCTCCTGAGGGCCCTTCCAACCCTGATATTCTATGATTCAAGGTACTCTACTTAAGAAGGAACAATCTGTTGCACACATACAAAATGGGAAATGACTGCCTAGGAAGGACCCTTCTGCGGAAAGTGGTCTGGGGGTCATAGTGGATCACAAGCTAAATATGAGTCAACAGTGTAACACTGTTGCAAAAAAAGCAAACATCATTCTGGGATGTATTAGCAGGAGTGTTGTAAACAAGACACGAGAAGTAATTCTTCTGCTTTCCTCTGAGCTGGAGTTCTGTGTCCAGTTCTGGGCGCCAAATTTCAGGAAAGATGTAGACAAATTGGAGAAAGTCCAGAGGAGAAAAACAAAAATGATTAAAAGTCTAGAAAACATGACTTTTGAGGGAAGATTGAAAAAACTGGGTTTGTTTAGTCTGGAGAAGAGAAGACTGAGGGAGGACATGATAGCAGTTTTCAAGTACACAAAAGGTTGTTACAAGGAGGAGGGAGAATAATTGTTCTCATTAACCTCCGAAGATAGGACAAGAAGCAATAGGATTAAATGGAAGCAATGGAGGTTTAGGCTGGACATTAGGAAAAACTCCTCCCATATAGTTAATCATTGGAATAAATAGCTTAGGGAGGTTATGGAATCTCTTTCATTGGAGGGTTTTAAAGGCAGCTTAGACAAATACCTGTTGGGGATGGTCTAGATAATACTTAGTCCTGCCATGAGTGCAGGGGACTGGACTAGAAGACCTCTTGAGGTCCCTTCCAGTTCCATGATTCTATGATTCTTGTCCCTTCTCTTGGGAGAGCATACTACACTGCTGCTGCTGCTGTGAATACCAGTCTCACAGTAATCTGCTAAGGGGAATTCAGACAAGTAATTCCCCTTTATTTGCTCAATGCTGCCTCACAAAACTGTACTGCCTAAAGTCCTAATAATTACTTTATTTCCTTAAATGAGGTGCATTTTCCTTTTTATGTGCTATACTGTATTAGTCAGTGAAGCTTAATGAGATGGACTCTATTATAGCAGTTTTACACTGGAGTAATTCCACTGACATCAGTAGAATTACACTGAAGTAACTCTTGCTTTTGTTATTGCTGTAGCTATAATGCAATTAAAACTATAGTCTAGCAATGGCTTAGACGCTATTTCACAGATTCTGTTGGTCTCTGAGACATAGAACTTGGCTTGAGGCTTTGGGGTAGCCCATCCTGATGCTTAGGGTTGCTAGTGGGATAGCGGCTTTCAGAAAAAAGTGTTTGAAGTGTGCCGAATATATAAGTCACAAACTGGATATGGTAACAATTGCAATAATTGAGTGAACAGGGAAACTGAAATACCCTTCACCCTTGGCTTTCCATGCAGTAGGCAGGGAAAAGCTGATTGGCAGGGGAGGGTAAGGACACTGGTGCTCCTGTGGCCCATGTAGTACTTATTATATGGATAAAGAGAAGACTTTAATCTCCATGGCTTAAATTCAGCATCTTTCCTAAGCACTAACATTCAACAGATTTGTTAACAAGAATAAAATTCCAGGCATGCTTACCTGACATCAAGATAAGGCAGTTGTTCAAATACTGGAGCCAAGAACACCACCGAGTGCAAAGAGATGATACAGAGGGTCAGAGAAAAATTATAAAAATGGCCAGAGTATAGCAAAATAGCGATTAACTTGAGTAAATGCCTATTGTTTCCCTAGGGAAAAGTAATCTCAAACACATATATTCAGTGGGAGTATATAGGAAGCAGCAATGCTGAATGGGGTGAAAGAGGATAGCAAACTACATTTCAGTTTGTAATACTATATGGCTGCTGTGAAATGGTCAGTACAAGTTTAGGGTGCAAAGGGAAAATCCTAATGAAACAAAGAGGTGATATTTCCCCTCTGTGTGGCTCTACTTGCCTGTGCCTGAAATATTATAAAATAACAACAGTAGTTTACAGATATACTAGACAAAGGGCAAGGCAGTGAATAATCAAGCCTGATGTATTTTGTTCAGTTCA